GGAAAATACTTGAAGAGAGAAAATCGTACAGTATATAAATATAAATGATACCATTCAGTTTAAAAGAAAATCTTCTGTTTTTCTGTATATATCCTTGACAATGATTTTTTAATAAATCGAAACGTTGGAAATTCAAAATGATTAAAACCGCTGCTTTGGTTATACTTTTCTTAGTGAAAACTCTACCAATCACATACAAAAATGTAGATATGGCTAGGTTCGCACTACAAAAGTTAAATGAGCTAAAACGGAGTTGATTGGTCAGAAAGTTAACTCGGGATTAAATGATGTTTTCAACATCGTTAGTGCCTAAAAATGGTGCGCCAAAAAAGTGTGTCACAGAGTCACCAAAAATATCACAGTGTTACTCTAACAAAATCGACTTTTGTAGGCATGCGAAAGGGTTTGGAAAAAGTTTTTTTATCCAAAAGAAAGCCTGTTAGCTCCTCTGTAAACTTTGTTAAAGACACTTTTTATTAGCTCTTCTAAATTCGTCGAAATTTGCACTTTAACGAGTAGGCATGCACCGGTTACGGTTAACCGTAACCGGTCATAACCGTAACCGTAATAACCGGTCAAACGGTTAACCGTAACCGTAAATAACCGGTCGGACGGTTAATCGTAACCGTAAATAACCGTAACCGTAATAACCGGTCGAACGGTTAACCGTAACCCAGGTCGTGAAAAATGAGGCATAAATGACTCATTTATGGACCATATATGGCTCATTTTTAGATCATATCTCTCCCACATTTATCTCATTTATTATATTATAATATAGTGATAATTTTGTCATTTTTCTATATGGACTATAAACGATGGATGCCGTTTGTTTGTACGAACGACATACTAATGCACTTAAAATGCAGAAAAATGGTCACTAACGTACAGGCGAAAATCAGTGTCATTAGTAGCAGGATACAAAATAATCTTAATCAGCTTTCGCTCGAAGAATCCAAACAAGATTGTATATACTATTCTTTCTTTTCAAATAAATTATTCTTTATTTTTCTACAATCAGTACATGAAGCTGTTATGAAGCGGTTATTTACGGTTACGGTTAACCGTTCGACCGGTTATTACGGTTACGGTTATTTACGATTACGGTTAAACGGTTAATAACCGTAACTGTTGCATGCCTATTAACGAGGAGTAGTTAGAATTTACCAGTCTAAAAAGGTTTTATGAAAGCTCGAGTCTTTAACCCAAAATTTTCATTTTTATTATCGAACTAGAATAAGAAGAGCCACATCGAATGACGCAAAAAACGAACTTTCTAGCTCTTATAGTTTTCGAGAAAATCTCAAATTACTAAATATCAAAAAATAAAATATAAATATCCCAGCGTCACCTTTGAACAAGCCGTCAGACTGATTCATTCATAGAAGTGGAAGAAACCACTTCTACCGCGATTGTGCAACTCAATGTTTTTATCGTTCTTCATGTTTGTCACTTCTTATTTGTTTTACCTACATATGAGTTTCACTCAGCGAATCATAGAAAATATATATAAAGGCTTAAGTTTCAATGTCTCATTTATACTTCATTATTTTTTCTACACTCGAAAGACACAAGCATCATAAATTCTATGGAATCAGTGGTAAACTATCTTCAGTCATTTCTATGTCCCATCACACACGAGGTTATGATTGATCCTGTGATAGATCCCGATGGAAACAGCTACGAACGACGAGCAATAAACGATTGGTTGACGCATAATTCAACGTCACCAATCACTCGAAACACTTTAATTATCCATGATCTAACACCGAATCAAGCGTTACGTCAGACCATTGAACAATTTAAGGCAGCCAATAACGTTACGCCGCCTGCTTTAGTTACATCAACTCTTGCCACAACGGAGTCTCTCGACATTGATCTGAAAGTTAGTGTTAGTTATGAAGGTGGCTGCGCCTATATTTCAGTCAAACCACCAATAGGTATTCAGCGTACCCCGTGTGATATTTGCTGTGTCGTTGATACTTCGGGCTCGATGCAACACGAAGTTGAGTCAAAAAATGAGCAAAATAAGGTGGAAACATTTGGTCTATCTCAGTTAGATCTCGTCAAGCATGCCCTCAAAACCATCATTCACACGCTGAGTGAACACGACCGTTTGTCGGTAGTCGAATTTAATCGAAAGGCAACAGTTTTATTTCAACTGTTGGAAATGAATCAGGATGGAAAGGCAAGTGCTCTGGCAGCCATCGAGCAGCTCGAGCCAAATGGAGCAACAAATCTGTGGGATGGACTAAAGAATGGACTTGATGTTCTCTCGAAAGGATCAACTGATAAAAGTAATTCGGCATTGTTTATTCTTACGGATGGCTGTCCGAACGAAGAGCCACCGAGTGGCCACATACCAACGTTAAAAGAGTACAAAGAAAAAACAGGCTTTTCATGTACCATAAACACATTTGGATTCGGATATACACTAAACAGTCAGTTACTAGAAGAAATTGCTGTTATTGGAAATGGTAAGTAATAATTTATTGTTAGAAAAAATTGATTCTTGAAGAAAAAATCCTACATCTTTTCGGATATGATAGAATAATTAACCTCGTCTTTGTTTCAGGTACATATTCATTTATCCCTGACGGTGGTTTTGTTGGCACAATATTCATTAATGCTCTCAGCAGTCTTCTAACAACTGTTGCCACAAACGTTACCTTAGAGGTAAAACCTTCTCAAATATCGACCGTTCTCGATGAAAAATACACAACATTATATGAAACCGAAAAGTTTGACGGTAACGGTTTAAAGATTCACATTGGTTCTGTCACCTATGATCAACAAAAAAGTGTCATTATACCGATAATGAATGATGCAACACAAGTGTCTTTTGCACTTCATTATACATCACCGCTCAATAAAGAATCTACAAAAATTTCGGTTGAAAAAGGAACAACGAACGTTAACGGTTTTTTGATTGATCACTATCGATTAGAATTCGTTAATACAGTGAGAACAGCAATGAATTTAATGGAAAGTGACAAGTTTGATAATGCTCAAAATATAATAAAAACATTGGCGAAAGATATGAAATCATCAACGGTTGCCAAAGAGCCGTTTATCGTTGATTTGTTGAAAGATTTGGAAGGACAAGTTACTGAGGCAATATCAAAGAAGGAATGGTTTGAACGATGTAAGTATAAATCTTATCTAATTGGGTGAAAAATTTGTCTCATATATTCCTTTTTTCGTCTATTTTCTTGCAGAAAAGCACTTCTTGTTAAGTAAACTTCTTGCTTCTTACACCTTCGCTTACAATACGACGACCTGATCAAAATTCTCATTTAGTCGAAGTAACAGAAGTACATACTATCTTACTTCGAAGATCTTTATTTTTGAGAAAAGTCGTATTATTCTTCAGAGTTATAACATTTTAATTTTATAATCCTGCGTTGCTTTGTCAGTTATCAAATTATTTTTAATAGAATGTATGGTGAAGCAATGCTTTAAGAACAGAATAAGAAACTGTCAGATATAGAGTTAAGAATTCTGTGATCAAAATACAAATTCGTTTTTTTTTAGTCTTGAATACCTGAGAGAACTCGTGTAATTGAATTGATATTTTTATAATACCTTAATCTTAGGAATGAAAATTTTCTAAAAAATGTATCTCTCTACCAATTCAAATAATGATTTGATTTTGGTTTTTAGGAACGGTCTTTTGAAATTCGCTACTCTTTATTAAAAAAACATCTAATATTTCTCTCTCATTTTTCAGGGGGAAAACTGTATTTACCGTCACTTGCACGTGCTCATCTCATGCAACTCTGCAACAATTTCAAAGATCCAGGCGTTCAACATTATGGTGGTGAATTGTTTAATCGTCTCCGAGATGAAATTGAACAGATATTTATCGGTCTTCCTTCACCCAAACCATCAGCTCGTCCTGCAGCTGAACCCGTTCCAATGAATACCTACATGAACTATTCAGCAGGCTGTTTTCACGGTAATTGCATCGTGACTTTAAATAATGGTCAAACTAAATTACTCAACAAAATTCAACGAGGTGACATTTTAAGTGGTGGTGCTCGTGTTGTTTGTGTCGTTGAAACTTTGTGTAATAGTGAAGCAGTTAGTATGATTAAATTTGACCAAAGCGGTCTCTTGATGTCAAACGAAGAGAATAGAGCTGCGACAAACAGCGATTTTCTTTTCTTATTCGCGTTATATATAGTGTGTGCTCACGTTGCAATGTACGGTACACATATATAACATACATTAAGACTGTTGTCTGTGTAAATATTTAATGGTCATTCATGGTGCTGTAGCAACAATGCTTACTATAAATTTGTTAATTGATATTCGACCAATTGAATGTAAAAAATGTATTTCATGTATCACATTTGATTCAGCATTTGTTTGTGATGAATTATGTGGTAAGAAAAGTGATGAAAATTATAAATCACATTTTCAGTTTTATATTAATCATTATGATATTGTCCCATATCTCCTTTCGATTGTCTGTCAGGAAGGAGAACGTGCATTAAAAGGAGGTGTAAAACAATTCGAAGAATATGAAAAATGTTAAAAACAAATTTTGTTCAAACAGCAATAGTTTCTAGTGCAATTAACGCAATAAAACAAAGAGCAACTACTTCTCTTCCTCCTACGGCTGCTGAAGCTTTACTTCGTCTTCCACCAGTTTGTCATACACTTTTAGAGTTGGCAATAGTTGCATATAAACCATTTGGTAATTATTATCAAATTAAAGATAAATTACCAAAAATAATATTCCATTAGAAAAGATTTTGTTCAAAGTACCACGAAGTGATACCGGTGAAATTGATTTTGAATTATTATTAAGGTATTGTCAAGATCATTATATTGAAAATTATATAAGAGAAATACATGTCAATGTAATTCACAATCATATTCAAAATGAACATAATCGTCCTGATCATCATCAAGATGTTAAATTAGTTGATTAGAGTAGGGTGGGGTAATTAGAACAGTATTTTTTTAAAACTCCGTATTTTCGTTCTCTCTCAGTTAGCTTAAGGAATTTTTGGGTAGTTCCTTGGCAAGAGTTGTAGAGGAGATATTTTTCTGTCGAATGGTCGTTTTCGTTTTTCTAAATTCCATTTCCTTCAGGATCAGGAGCAGATCTGCGGTTGACCGGTCTCGACTGTTCTAATTTCCCGCATGTGGGGAATTAGAGCAGTACGTGTAAATGGGTGGGGTAAATTAGAACAGTCCGTAGAAAATACACGGGACTTTTTAATAAAAGTAATTTGAATTTTATATTTGTATTTTAAATTATTTTTGCACACATCCTTAGTATGATATGTAGAGGATATTCAGCTCTATCGCCTGATATGGATTAGATCGCAAACGGATAATATTTGACGGACCTAGCTCTATTCAAAAAGGGACTAGTAAAAATTTTTTGTGTTCCAATTCCCCGCATGTGGATTCACCACATTTCGACTAGTTTCAATCAAGGTCTCCAGTGGTTGCGGCTTTTCTCGACTTCAGCCAGGCATTTGACAAAGTTAACCATGATGGTCTACTTATAAAACTAAAAAATGCTGGTTTATCTAGTTCTCTTCTTAAGTGGTTTCAAAATTATTTATTCCAAAGGAGAATTACCACAATGGTGGACGGCTCTACGTCGTCTGAACAATTGATCTCGTGTTCCGTCCCGCAGGGTTCCATTTTAGGACCATTACTCTTTTTAATCTACATCAATGATTTACCTGAAACAATTCAAAATTTATGTTTTTTGTTCGCAGACGATGTTTCAATCTATTCTACCTCAAGCGACATTAATAAGTCAATTGCTGGTATGAATAACGATCTTGACAAAGTCTATAAATGGTCCGTGCGATGGTACCTGCCGCTAAACGTCCTTAAATGTTTTGGAATGATTTTTCATCGATCAACAATGCTCGCTGTCTTGCCACCTTTACAGATCAATAATATTTCCTTCGATTTTGTAAACCAACATATCCATCTTGGTTTATATCTTACTAAAAATTTTGATTGGACTCTACATATTAACACACTGGTTTCTAAATGTGGTCAGACAGTTTGAAATTTTTGAGCAGGACTCTATCTCGTCTCGCTCTCAGTCTGGCTTACAATGCATATATTTTGAGTTGTATTAACTATGCTAGCGTTATATATTCTTCAACAAATGAAAAAAATTTGAAGCGTCTAGTTACTCTGCAATACCACGCGTCCCTTGCTGTCACAGGAGCTATGTCAGGTAGTTCGCACCAAAAGGTAATTAGTGAACTAGGATGGATTCCTAGGGATTTTTGCTAGTCTTCTATAATTCCATCTGGTGGACTTGGAGGAATAACAACAAGATCATTATTTAATTATTCTGTATTATATTTTTCAAGTATCATTAAAAAAATATTGTGAAAATTTTGAAATATTTATCGAAAATGAGTCTACCAAAATAAAACTTGTG